TATCGGCAAATGCCCGGAGAACTCCAACTCGAACCAAATCCTTGCCCATTGAGAACCTTTGATTGGTTACCAATATTTTAATTATGCGACCTGGGTCCCGGGAAATTGGTTTGACAATCCCCAAAGTGGGTGAGTGAGGGGGAAATAGTAGAAGCTAATGCTCTGTCGAAGGGTTTTAGTCGATAATGGATGTAATAGAGAGGGAAATGTTGAGAAAATAGAGGGAAAATGGGTCCTAAAATTAACAATTTGCATCTTTAGATTGAGATTTATGACAGGAAAGGTTCGGTATTCAGTTTTTAGATAAAAAAGGATGTTAGATGTTTGAATTATAAGATAGAAGCCTTGCTAATATTTACAAAATATATATTGCTAATAGATTTTGTTCACTTTTACATAATGCAATTATATAATATAAGTATTTAATACCTTCTTTTCCCCCAATAAACTCTTGACCTCCTCATCATCGGTCAATTTCGTTTGGCCAACAAATTGATGGTTTCGATAAATCAAATGCGTTTTCCACCAAACTGGACACGTGGGCGTGGCCTCTGGCTTCTCTCTCGGCCTTCTTGGGCATCTTCGGTCTCGGCCCATAAATATCCTTGGACTCACCCCTTGCCGCGCTGCCTGCAGCCTGCATTCAGGATAATAATAAATTTTCAATCAGCAAATTGATGTCGTGATTCGCAGCGTATTGGAATCGAAGTTGAAATGGGAAATTCGGAGGGGGGAAATGGGAAATGGTCAAGTAATCATTTAGCGGCAGATTGTCCAAGCTGTTATCTATATTAAAGTAGTTGGCATTATCCTCTCCTCACCCAAAAGCCAAAAGGAGGGATGTTTTACGAGTTAAACTCACATTTGGGATTGAAATTAAATTACATTACATTAGGTGGTATTTGTAGTTTTAAGTTTTCTGTAATAATTATTATATTAAATAGATTTGAAAGTAGTTCAAATAATACACAAATTAAGAACTTTAATAACCCAAAAACCTTTAAAAAAAAGGCAAAAATAAGTGCCTTTTCTAGTTTATTTGTAAACAAATAAGCCCAGTCATTAACAATCAAGGAGAATATATTTGTAGGGACTTGCAGCACGGGGGAAATTGGTGGAAAAGTGGATTTTCCGATCCACAACGGAACTCGGTTAGGAGCGAATTTCCGTTTTGGCAATTTATGCCATTTCCCACCTTGATTTCCGCCCTCAAAGTGGACGAAGCCCTACCGAATTTCCCAGACCCAGACCCCGCTTTTCCGGCTACCAATTTGCTGTGTGTTCCGTGTTCTGTGTTCTCTGGTATCATAATGACGATTCAATCTCTGGATGATGGGATGCTGGATGTTGATGTTGCTTCTGCCGGGGGTCTCCAAATTGCAAAATGATATAATTCAATGAGAGTTGATTAAATTATCAGGGAAGCAGCAGCAGCCAGTCCAGTTCAATCCCTCCCTTTCGGAGGTCTCTTTCGGTCGGCGCAGGTTGAGCGGACGTTGCTGTCGTGCACTGAGCGAAAAGAGTGTTAAATATTTTCCTAACTTTAGTTTTTGCATCATTATACCCCTATTTATATCATTCAGCAGCTTGTAAAACAGTGAAGCAGTCATTTCCGACCCCATAAATCATATATATTCTTGATCAGCATCGAAAGCCGAGTCGATTTAGCCATCTTAGACAGAAACAATTTTTTTTTAAGTTTTTTCTTGTATTTTTATGATTTAATTTTTACATCTGTGAAATTTTCCAAAAATGGAAAATTTTGAAATTTGTTTAAATGTTAAATTGAGTATGCAGATTTATTAATATATTAAAAACTAGCACAGAACAGCTTTCCGATTTGAATTTTATGCTTTTTTGGCTTAGTTATGAATTTTTTAAATTTTAATTTATAGAAAATATGGTCATATAGATATAGATAGATATCGGTTTAAAGAATGGTATTATAATTTCAGTCAGAAGCTTATAACTTACAAAGAAATCATTTCCGACCCCATAAATCATATATATTCTTGATCAGCATCAACAACTGAGTCGATCTAGCTATGTTTGGTGAAAATTTAATTTTTTCAAAATTTTCACAATTTTATAAGGTCTAAAATTATGAAAATTGGAATTTGAAAAATTGAAAAAAAATGTAATTTCATAAAATTCAAAAGTGTGTATGCTGATTTCTTAACCTATTAAAAACTAGCATAGGAAAGCTTTTCGAATAGAAATTAAATCATTTTTGGCTTAATTATGAGATTTTTAAACATTGATTGGTCGTAAAAATTGTCATAGAAAAATATCGATTCAGAAAATGTGAATATTTTAAGCTTAGTTATAATCGATTTCCCATTCCAATCCTATAATTTAATTACAAACTAGGTTTCTAAGCTTTGGCTTAGTTAGTTTTCTTTCTAAATCTTGGGCCTAATTTATATAATATATTATAATTTGTTTTCTACTATCTACTAATTGTAATTAAATTAATGAAAGGTTTAAAATAATCTTTAAAAATACTTAAAAAATGCTGTAATTTAAATTTGCAATTAGAGGTATTTCTTGAACACATAATTTCTTTCTGTGCAGTTGCAATGTTGCTGTTGCCAGTGTGCCTTGTTAATGAAATTTTCCGCTCCTTTGGCAGAGGCTCCCAGCAACTCTCTCTCTCTCTCTCTGTCTCTCTCTTTCTCCCCCTCTCTCTCTCTCTCTCTCTGTGTGTGCATTGTTTACACACAGTGTGTGTGCCACGGTGCAGGTGCTGGTGTTGCTATTTATTATTGCAAAATGCTGCCGGTGTGTTGCCACCTTTTGTCTGTTGTTGCAGCTGATGATGGTGACGTTGACGTTGCATGATGAAATAACAAACCGGATTAATTTGATTTTGCAGTTGGGATGGGCGCAGGTTTGCCGTAGCCGGGATGCTCTTTGCCAGGAGCATCTTACGTCTTGCAAGGAGGAGGACGAGGAGGAGGAGGATCCTGGCGGGATGTGCAAATTAATTTGACATCAGTTGGCAGCAGTCAAAGGAGAGAGAAGAGTGGCGGGTAATTTTCCAAGCCAGGCCTCCTGGCTCATGGCAGGACCTCATCTCAATGCCAGGATTTGTTTTTCCACGCCTGAGCAATCGCTGAGTCACACCTAAGACAGTCTGAGACGTGACTATAAACTATAAAGTTAAGGGAATTAATTGCCGGATTATTTTGTTTAGATTTAAAGCAGCAACTTTCTGTAGGAAATTAATGAAATATTTTAATGTTAAGTAATATAACATTGCTGAAACGCACTGTACCCAGACTGGCGGCATTTTGCCAAAACAAAAAATCACCCAAAATACACCCAGCAAAGTTGTAAATTTCCTGGGCTGCACTGCCCTGAGTGGCTCTCCCTTTTGCCAAAATATTAAATAATATATGTATATATATAGTGCTATATATATATATATCTGTAGACCTCCCTTGGATTCGGTTCTGCCAATTTCTCATGCGAGCAGCATTGCCAAAATTTATGACTTGGCCGATTCCAAGGCTCTCCTGGTTAGCATCCAAGACTGGCTGACAGGAAATCGCTTTGTCTTTATATATTTAAGAGATTTTTCCTCCTTTTCCTGTCCTGGGTTTCCAATATCCCCAAAGGGAGAGGGAGAGTGTGAGGAATTTAGGAAAAAATGTCGCCACAATGGCAGCCCCTTTTAACCCCCTTGGCTTAACCCACTGATTTTTCACTTTGCATATTTTGGTTCGGTTTTTTTTACCAAAGAATATTCGCAGAGAGAAGCAGAGCCACTTCAGTTTTTGCTGGAGCTGTTGTCCTGTCCAAAAGGACCAAGACGAAGGGTGTCCTTTTCCCCCTTGTGTGCGCACATGACTAATAGCAGAACTAAACGATTTGATGGACCAGAAAAATGATGACTTCTTTTGCAGTGCACGAGGGGGTTGTCTGCGAGGGGGTGGCTCTGGAAAATCCTTTTCGGCCGTGTCCTTGTGGCAAATCCTTTTATTGTGACAGTTGTTGTTGCCGTCCATGCAGACTGGCTGCCTTTTGTGATCAACATTTAATGTTTTCATATTATCATCCTGGTTGCTGCCGGAGAATCGGTTTAATGTCTCGGAAGATAATCTAATTTGGTCACTTATATGCGAATATGTATATCATTTGACATTATGTGTGTGTGTGGGAGGCAGCCAGGGGCGCACCCAACTTCTAAAGAGGGGTGCCAAAGTTCTAAATAAATATACTTATCTAAATTCGTATAAATATAGTTCTTTCTATTAATCATTTGTTAACAATAGGTATTAAATTATAAAGGGAGAACCTAAAATGTGACTAAGGCTTAACAAATATTTCAAATTTTCTTTAAAAAGTATGCTACATTTTTATAGAGAGAGATCCTATTACCATTTCTTCTTTATCCTTTTTGCTTTCTAGGCTTTATTTGAAATTTTTATGATTACTCTTATTTCTTTCTTATTTGCTATTATTATTCAATGCATTTAATATTCGCTTTAATTAAAACATACTTATAAAGACTCCTTTAAAACTCACTTTTAATCTTAACAATTTACTTTCTGTATTAATTATCTTTTATTTCCCAATTTTAATTGTTTATGGGATCTTTTTAAACCAATTTATATTCCAAGAATATATTTTTTAAAAATGTATTCCCATTTAAACCCCCCTTTCTAAGCCCCTGTTCACTCTCAGCTCAAGTGTGTGTGCCATGTCCATGTCTTTGGTCGAAAGGTTTATGGGGTCCACGTATTAGCATTTAAAAAACATTCCATTTACATTTTCTCAATTTGAATGGGTTTTTTATTTAATAATTTGCAATTTGCATGCCATTTTCCACGGATTAGGGCTTCAGTTGACGGCCAATGGCCATCGAGGAGGTCAGTCTCCATATGGAGGAGCACTCGTAGGGATAGTTAAGGGTTTCCCCTAAATATTGTTTGTATATAAATTATAACTATAAACTACAAACTAATTTTAAATGATTTATATTCCTTTTTTTCTAGGTATGGTTCCAGAATCGCCGGGCCAAGTGGCGCAAAACGGAGAAAGTCTGGGGCGGCAGTACGATAATGGCCGAATATGGACTATATGGAGCCATGGTGCGACACTCCCTGCCCCTACCTGACACGATCCTCAAGTCGGCCAAGGACAATGATGCGGTGGCACCTTGGCTACTAGGTATGGAGCAGAAATGTAAATGCAACAATCATATCGAACTCTATCGAAACTATGAACCCATATAACCATCCATAATTTGATTTTATATAACTTTTATACTGGATATAAAGTGGGAGATATTTTGAAGTTGTCTAAAGAGATATAAGAAATGATTAACAGAGGCTTTCTTTAGGATTTACCCAATTCTGCTTATAAATCCAAAACTGTCCTTAAGCCTTCTCTTTTAATGTCCTTTAAACCCTTGAACTCATTTTTCTGGTGATTTTACTACACAAAAATGATTACCTAACCAATTTTCAATACATTTAGTAAACAAAATACAACAGAAAATATCCCTTAACAATTACAAAATTAACTTGAATTAAAATACAAACTAAGGACTAGTCCTTTGAGCTTCCTACACAATTACAATTTAATTTTGACCCTCTCTTAACTTGATTTCTATATAAAAGTGGATATATTTTGTATTTGACAAAGGATCTTCTATATAACTGCCCGTTCTGTGTGAAATAACTCAAAAAAACTTCCAAGGAGCGTATAATTAAATTTCCAGCCACACAAAGGACAGCGGTTCAGGGATTATAAAACGATAGCGATATCCTCTATATATAGCAGGGGATGGGCTGCTCTACCAAAAATTGTGAGCATATTTGGCGGGCATGTCGAACGACGCTTTTCCGGCTGTCATATGTTGCGCACATTTCCCGGGAATGACTTTGCGGATTATCGGAACAAGTGTCTGGGGTGGCTTCCTTTATTTGTTAATAATCGCTTAATAAATGCAAAATGCACACGCGACTCAAGGACGTGGCAGGGTGGCAGGGTGGCAGGGTGGCATTGTGAAGTGAAGCGAGTTCCCAATGAATTCCCGTTTTTATTTGGCATTTATCGCTTATCTATTCCCATTGTGCGGTGGCCTTGAAGGGGGTGGCACTGCCTCGCTGCATTCCTTGGCGGATTTCGCCTTCCGGAATTGAATTCCCAAGTAGCCCGGAACGGACCGGAAAGTGGCTTAGCGGGGACTTGGCCATAGTTAATCTGGCACTTTTTAATTAAGTCGATATGTCAAATTAGTTGGCAATTGATGGGGCGCGGCATATGATTAACACCAGCGAGGGGTTGGGTGTCGGAAAATGATGAGGAGGAAGTCGCATCGGAATCATCCCTGGACACCAGTTGGTAGTTAATAATTGACCTGCACTCAATAATATTATTAATAGGTTTTTAGAGAGTTTATAGATAGTTTTATTCTTCAATAAAAACAAGGCTCCAGAGAATAGGAAAAGTTTTAGTTGAAACAGATCTGAATTAGAACTTTTCTTATTTTCTTGAGCCTTGAATAAGCATTTTGAACTCTCTTTTTGACAATTTGAAGTTTCAAAGAGTTAATTTAATCTTTAAAGGATTTAAATTGATTTTAATTGATGCCAAAATTATATTGTAAAAATATAAAAAATATATGTTTTTATTATTCTTATTATTTTAATAAATTTGTTAGTAAAGAATTTGACAAAATAAAGGAAAACAAATTATTAAAACAGTAAGAAAGAATTTTTAAAACACAAATAAGCATAGTTTAACCAAAAATAAATAAATTATCTATTTGACAAGCATTTAGAAGCTAAAAAAAAAGTGGAAACATTAATATTTCATGATTTATTTATTTGGCAAGCATTTAGATGCTAAACAAAAGTGGAAAAATTAATATTTGATGATAAGCTAATTTTGGTGTTAAAATCAAAGTTTGAAAAAGTAATAACTAAGCCAAAACTGAATTAATTCCTATGTGAGAAACTTTTTTTAAATTACTTTTTGTTAGCTTAATAAATCTGCTTATTTAGTTTGAACCTTTAAAAGAATGACAATTTTTGTTCAAATTTTCACAATTTTAATGATGAAAACCCCTTTAAAAATGTTCAAAAATTAAGTCCAACATTTTTGTTTTTGAATTTGTTTAATATTTTATTATTAAGCAATACAGATTTAAAAAGGGAATCGAAATATATATATATGTTATTCGACTCTTATTAGCTTTTTGTCATTTTAATGAAACCAAAAAGACCTCAAATACGAGCCTTTAAAGGGATTATTTTTAAGGTTTAAGGAACCCCGTCTTTCATCTCCCACTCTTTCCCTAGAATGTTGAAAATTGTATCTTAAACTTTACTAATTTCCCTCTATTTTTCTTTATTTTTCTCTAGGCATGCACCGCAAATCGATTGAGGCCCAGTCGGCGCTAAAGGACGATTCGGGGGTAAGTGACCATGAGGATTCGGCGGGATCCAAGTCCGCTCATTCCGAGGATCTTTCGCGATCTTTGTCCCACTCGCGGGCCCTGAGCTCCTCCACCGAATCCCTGAATGTGGTGAGTCCGGCGCCCAGCAGCTGCACCACCACGGCCTCGGCCTCGGTTTCTGCTTCGGCCTCGACCTCGGCCCCGCCCACGGCTACAACAACGCCCACAGGAGTGACCACCAATTCGGGCAGCTCGGGGAGTCCCCACATTGAGCTGAGCTCCCCCTCGCCGCAGCAATCACTGCAACTGCAGCAGCAGCAGCAGCAGCAGCAACATCTTTATGGAGCAGGAGGCACGGCCCCTCCCAGCTATCATCCTTTGCTGGATGCGGCAAATGCAGCGGGAGCAGGGGCAGCGGCCTCCAGCAAGGATTTCCACCTGATTATGAACACGGCAGTGGCAGCAGCAGCCGCTGCAGCAGCCCAACAGCAGCAACAGCAGCAGCAGCAGCAACAGCAGCAGCAGCAGCAGCAGGTGACGCATCATTTGGCCGCTGCTCTCATGGAGCATGATCCGGATGCATTCAGGTGGGTTTTTTTATGAGATTAATTTATTGTTAACAAATTAATTTATTAATATTAAATATATATTGCTGCAGAAACAATTCTATTGCCTGTTTGAGGGCCAAGGCGCAAGAGCATCAGGCTCGTCTCCTCAACAACGGCGGCCTCTTTCTGCAGGTGCGCAACTTTGCTCAGGCTCAGGCTCAGGCTCAGGCTCAGGTGCAGGTGCAGGTTCAGCAGTTGCAGGCTCAAGGCCAAAGCCAAAGTCAAGGTCATGTGATGCCCAGCAGTGATATGATGAAGCTCCATGAAGAGCACAACAACAACAACAGCCAGATAATCCCGCCCACTGTAACCCTTCCCCCACATTCCCTGCCCAATCCTCACCTCAACATCAAAATGGAGCTCACAGGAGGTGGGGGAGGAGAAGGAGGCACAGGAGCAGGAGCCTTGAAGAAGGAAATCTAAAATCCCAAAATCTGAAAGCTCCAAAAAGAAACCCCAGAAACCAAACCAAAAAAAAACCTTTTTTTTACTAGACCTAAGCCCGTGCATTGTCTGTAATCGAATATTTTAAAGATATATACAATATATGCATAAGTTTATTTTAGCTGTAAAAAAATAACGAAACGTAATATTTTTAATAAATATACTCACTTCAGAATATAATTAAAAAAAGATGTTTTCCCAGGGCATTTAATTATTCATTGTAATTTTGTTATTATTATTATTATTATTAAGGAAAATGTATAAGAAATTATTAGAGAAAATTGTAATTTTTAGATTTTATTTAATTTCATTTCATTTAGTTTATTTTATTTTTTTATTTATTTTAATTTTATTTATTTAATTTTATTTAATTATTATTTTAACTTAATTTAATTTAATTTTTGTTTATTTGAAAAATGTAAGAAATTATAAGAGAAAATTGTAATTTTTGATTTTATTTAATTTAATTTAGTTTAATATTTTTTAAATGTATTTTAATTTGATTAATTTATTTTAATTTGATTAATTTCATTTAATGTAATTCTTATTTTAACTTAATTTAATTTAATTTTGTATTATTTCAAAATTGTTTTCAGGAATTTTGCAAAATTATTATTCCATTTTATTAATTTTTTAATTTTGTATTTTACAGGATTTTCGGAGTTTACATGTTACACCAGCTGCTGGCGACCTCTGTGGAGATTTTGGAAGAGCACTTTCTGTTATACAGGAACTTTACAGTAGAAATAATCAAGACAAAAACTGTTATACCAAGCAAAAAGGACACATAGATGGCTATTAGTACAATTTATAGCAAACAAAACAAACACACGGAAAGCGCCCCAAACAATCTGCAAGCAGTGCAAGCAGTTATGCTGGCAAGCAGTGCATTGGTAAGTACAATGTCGATAAGGTAGTGTATGTATACCGGAGTTAAAGCAGTTCCTGCAGAGGACGGCCGTGGTTCAACCCGTTAAAATGTCTTTCGAGCAGCGAAGTTAAAAGCGGCTCAGGCAATTGAGACGCGAGTTCGAATCCCACTAGCGATATAATAGTCCCTCTATCTAAATTCTATCAATTTAAAAAGTTTATAATAATGCTCATATAAACAATTTCCGTTCGCCACGCGCTTTTGTCTAATTACTTTGGCAATAAGTGTGCTAAAAACTACGAAAGGAAAGATTAAATCTCTGAAGGAAGCTGATTGGTCGTCGAATATAATTTCTAGACCTTCAGTGCCAATTGATGAGAGACATTTTCAATAAAACCTCTTTTTTTAATATTTTTTTTTAATTCGTTTCAAGGAATTATAAGTTTTGTCAGAAGTTTGTTGCATTTAATAATTTTCGTTTTAATTTTATTAAAATATCTTATACCAGCCGATCGTTAAATTAAAAGGAACACGTAAAACTGGTAATTTTATATGTGATACATTTTAATACATGCATATTACATACTTTATGGTTTTTTAACATACATATATATGTATATATATATATAATATATGTATATAATGTTATTATTATTAATGTTCGAATTTGCAAGGGCTTACTTCCGCTAAGATTCCCTTCTTGTAATAACATAACATAGTAACATAATAACATTGTAATGCTAGTAAATAGTTTGAAAGGTTAAACCGAGCGTTATAAATCGTTCTTCTTTATTTCACTCCACGCAACCGAATGTTTCTCTTCTCCCGTTTTACATGATCTTTACATCTCTTAACATACGCTTAACATACATAGGCTTAACATAGATGGGCTTAACATACATAGGCTTAACATAGATGGGCTTAACATAGATGGTTCTCTGCTAACCTACGGCAATAGCTTACCTCTTCTCTCTCTCTCTTCCTCCGGCTGGTGCTCACTCTCTCTCGCTCGCTCACTCTAGTTTTCGGTAGGCCTATCGCTCTGTGTGTGTCTTTGTCTATCACTCTAGGCCTTTCTCCAGAGATACCTCCTCACTCTCTCTTTCTCTGTTATTCTCCTTGCTCGCAGACTATAAATACAGGCGCTGCAATCCCACCGCCCTCAGTGTGTACGTGGCCTCCCTGCAGTTAACATCGATAGTGAAAGTGCTCGTGATAGTGATTTGCCCTTCGATCTCAAGAATATTACCTGATCAATGAAATAAATTTGGATAACCAAGAAGAAGCTTACTTCGGAAAGAAGATGTCCTCTACTGGGGTAAGTCTTAAGCATGACAATTTAATTATATCATATATATAGATGTTATAGAAGGGACCAAGCTTAGATCAAGAATTAAATTTGCTAGCAATGCATTTATTTTTTAACTAACTCCCTCATTGCCAAATAACCCATTACTTAATATTAGTTTAAAGTGATTCAGCATTTTGAATTATTTGTATTTAAGAACAAAAATGTTTACTCAAAGGAAACAGTTTAACTTAATTAAAACTTATTCACGAATATTGATTTCTTGCCTTTATGATATTGAAACTATCAACTGATCGTTACTTTTTCTTCATTATTATTCCCTTGCAGGGTATTATAGTTTCAATCAGAAGCTTGCAACATACTGAAAGAGTCATTTGCGACCCTATAAACCATATATATTCTTGATCAGCATAAACAGGGGAATCTGACTCCTTCATAAGTTACAAGCTTCTGATAGAATTTATAATACCATTCTTTGAACCGATATTTATCTATATTTGATTCATAATTTGTTCTATAAATCAAAACCTAAAAAACTCATAACTAAGCCAAAAATGGATTAAATTCAATTCGGAAAGCTGTTCTGTGCTAGTTTTTAATATATTTATAAATCTGCATACTCAATTTTAATCTTAAACCAATTTAAAATTTTTGCATTTTTGGAAAATTTCACTGATGAAAAATTTAATCAGAAAAATACAACAAAAAAATTTCAAAAATTTTCTTCTGTCTGAGATGGCTAAATCGACTCGGCTTTCGATGGTGATCAAGAATATATATGATTTATGGGATCGGAAATGACTCCTTCATAAGTTACAAGCTTCTGACTGAAATTATGATACCATTCTTTGAACCGATATTTACATATATTTGAATGATAATTTGTTCTATAAATCAAAACCTAAAAAACCCATAACTAAGCCAAAAATAGATTAAATTCAATTCGGAAAGCTGTTCTGTGCTAGTTTTTAATATATTTATAAATCTGCATACTCAATTTTAATCTTAAACCAATTTAAAATTTTTGCATTTTTGGAAAATTTCACTGATGAAAAATTTAATCATAAAAATACAACAAAAAAATTTCAAAAATTTTCTTCTGTCTGAGATGGCTAAATCGACTGGGCTTTCGATGCTGATCAAGAATATATATGATTTATGGGGTCGGAAATGACTCCTTTACTAATTTACAGTTGTAATACCCGCCAAAGGCATAAAAATAAGTGCAAGGCATTATTATTATTATTATTATTATCTTATGACTCTCCTACTTCTGCTCGCAAGTTGACTGATAATTTATTCTACGATTTGGCTAATTTGAATTTGATCAGCTTAAAGTTGGCTGACGTATTTTATTATTATAAATGGGCGTGAATTCATTTAATTTAAACATCTGTGCATATAAGAGTGTTTCATCTGTTCAAAGTCGAATGATAAGTCAAAGTGTGTCAAAGTTTGGGTAATGAGATGAGAAAGTAATAAATAATAATATAAATAATTTCATTAATAAAGCAATCAATAATTAAATAAAATAAACCCAAAGAATAAGGCGGATAAATGCTGAATATCCTTAAATATCCTTAATATCCAATTAAGATTGAAATCCCCTTCGACTTTTCCTCTTATTGAATTATTAAAGAAATTCTCTTCACGGCTGAGAGGAGAGACTTCTTTTAATAAATGAATTTCGATTTTTAAATGGCGACAAAAATGGTGGGGAAAGTGCTGGGAAAAACTGGCATCCCATTGTTTTCCATTCCGCTCCAAATTAGCCACCGAAAGACAAAGGATGTGCGACAATTACAGGCTCCGAAGATAAAATGCGGATGCCGAAAATGAAAAGTAATGCCAGGCAGCAGCCACCAGGGGGAAAATAGGGAAAAATTGGGGAAAACTCGAACAAAATAACAGCAACAACCGATGAAAGATGAAGGCGGCGAGTAAATGGCCAAAGATGCCTCCATGCCATCATTTATTTTGGCCGCATTAGCATCCCGAAACGTTTGCATAGCTGCGGTTCTGGCCCAGGGTGGGTTTTAGGTGGGTTAAGTGGGCAGCAGGGCAGCAGGGCACCAGGGGGTTAAGGGTGGGGGTGTAGGCCCGCATTTCAACGCGTCATTTGGCCACCGCAACGTTTCGGGACCGCGTCCGGAACCGGGAACCAAAACCGGGACCACCGCCGGCTGAATGGATCGGAATGAAGTGGAATGGATTGGATGGGAATGCCAACCAAAACAAAAACACTGAGAGAAAACTACCATCAATTATAATCAAAAATTAATGGGATTTTAGGGGGAATATATTTGGAGTTTGTGGGAATTTTTATGGGATATAATTGATTGAAGGGAAGCCAAGTTGCAATATATTTGAAAATCTATAAATATACATATATTATTTTTCTTGAGTTTTTATAAGCTAAAAAGCAGTGATACACAGAAATAATATCAATGTGATTTTGTTGTTCCTTTTTAGAGTTAAATATATAGTTAGATTTCTAATAAAATCAAATTTTTAAAGGGATACTGAAAATCTAAATAAATAATTATTAATTAATATCAAGATTACAATGAATTTGGAATACAAATATTATATTATATATTATATTATATTATATTATATTATATGATATTATATTATATTATATTATATTATATTATATTATATTATATTATATTATATTATATTATATTATATTATATTATATTATATTATATTATATTATATTATATTATATTATATTATATTATGTTATATATTTTTTTAGAAATTTATGGATTTTCTAATCCGAAACTAAGAACATGTTGATTTATATTAAGACTGCTCAAACCTTGACATTCTCCATTCAGTTCTCGATTCTCCCCTTTATAATCTCTTACAATTATTTATTATTATTTTCTTATTATTATTTTTCAACACATATTTCTCTTTCCCCCAATTTCTCTCAGTGCCTGCAGCAAGCCAGATAAATTGCAGGAGTAACTGCGGCCTGACTTTGATTAAATGCGCGTTTGATTTGAAAATGATTTCATTAATTAAGGATGGGCCACCTTTTCGCACAAGGCTAGGCACTCCCCATTTAATTGCAAATTATATTCGGGCTAAAAGCTATCATCTGGCCGAAACCCCGATGGCTATTATGGCCTTTGAGGGCTCTATTCATTGATGTTTTATCGCAGATCTGTCGACAGCTAATTAGGCCCGGGGAAAAAGTTATGATTGCTTTGCCATGGAAATTTCTTAATTCTTTATATTTTGCATTTCTTCATTTTTCCATTTTCCATTTTCCATTTCCCATTTGACCATTGAACTTGGCTGGCAGCTTATTAGGGGCATTTCTTTAAAATTTGTCATTTCTTTTGGCATTTTTCAAACAGCTGCCGACATAAATCATTCGCTCGCGCAGGAAGTCCAGTTGAGCGAAAAGGAAAATGTCCAGAAAATGTTAAGAAAATGTCGAGAAAAATTCAATAAGGACCTGGTCCACACGATTGCATTTCAATCACTCAAGGATCGAAGGGAGGCCGACGACTAACTGGCAAACAAGACTAATTAATTTCACTTTACGTGACTTGCATGGGAAAGGACGGGCAGGCGAAAGGGGGTCAAATTATGGCACATTATGTATGGGGAAAGTGCCAAGAGAGCTGCCAGCACAGAAATAATTAAACGACCATTTAGCAAAAGGGACGAGAAAAAATAATAATAATAATAATGTAACAAGTACTGTTCTTCATAAGTTTGTTGAAATAATTGCTTTTGCAGGGACCAAAGTCTTGAGTATTTTACTCAAAGTCAGTCATTAGCAGGAAAATTTAAAATGTATCTTTTATTTATAGAAAAGGGAAATGAGAAATAGTTAGAGTATATAATTTTTCACCCTCATCATGTATAAAAACATTTATTTGATGCTCCTTCTGTTCCTGGTTTTTCCTGGGCATAAAATGCATGAATATATTGCGCCCTTCATTATGCCGCTTAATGTACTTGCCGGAAAAGCTGAAAATTTGCTTACAACAAAACATAAACACACACACACACACACCGGTACACACAACAAAGTATGAATAAATCGTGCCAGAAATAGACAAGAATCGGGGCGAAAACTTCATCAAAAACTGGCAACAAAAGTAATAATAATGAGGCGCCAGGCACAGAGCCCAACTCGAGGTCGAGGTCGAGGTGAGAGGTGAGAGGTGAGAGTTAAGAGAAAAACCCCAGGTGAGTAAGGGGGGAGGGGTGGGTGGTGAGTCTGTGCTTTTTTGTGGGTGGAGAGATTTGAAAAGCCAACAATGGCAACAGCTTACAAACCAAAACAATAACACAAACACAACGTAGAACAGAGGCTCTGATAAGGGAGATGCTGCTGCTCAGGGTTGCCTCTGTTTATTCTCAATTTTAATGCGGATAAGGTAACACACACACACACACAGGTGTGTGTGTGGGGTATAAAGTGGCCAGAAGGGTTAGCTCCTCTCTCCCTCACTCTTTGTTTGCTGAGGTGCCAACTATCGCCCCGAAGCTTAAGCCAAATTGTTTGATAATAAACAGCAAACAAAAGCCAACTAAGCTGTAGGTTTTACTTATTCTTCAGCAGAGAGAAAACTATCAATATTTTAATTTAAATAAATCATAGGGTAAGGCAGGTATTTCCATACAGAATAGAATTAATTAAAATTTAAACAAATATTTGTGTCTCTCTGAAATGTATTTTGTATATCTTTTTATACCTTTGCAGGGTATTACAATTTTAGTCAGAAGTTTGCACCTCCGACCATATAAAGTATATAAATTCTTGATCAGAATCAACAGCCGAGTCGATCTAGCCATGTCCGTCTGTCCGTCTGTCCTTCTGTTCTTCTGTCCGTCTGTCCGTTCCTACGCAAACTAGTCTCTCAATTTTGAAGCTATCTAAATGAAACTTTGTAGTTAGCCTTCTATATACTCTCACTCGTATATATGTCGGAACGGGCCGGATCGGACGACTATATCATATAGCTGCCATAGGAATGATCGGAAAATTTTTAGAAAATAAATTATAACTTTTTCAGTTTTCAACAGAATTTAATCAAATTAAAGATATAGCCTTTTTGTATTACTTTACAATTTTATGTAAAATTTTATAAAAATCGGACTACTATATCATATAGCTCCCATAGGAACAATCGAGAAATTAAGACAATTAAAAATTATAACATTTTCAGTTTTCAACGCAACTTAATCAAATTTGATATATAGCCATAATATAGTAGTCCTAAATATTGTGTAAAATTTTATGAAAATCGGATTACTTTATCATATAGCTCCCATAGGAACGATAGTTAGATGTAGAGGAAAAATGCAAATCTGTGAATATAAATATAATATGTGTAGCTGAATGAAATGAAAGTAGGAATTACTTCATTGCTTTTTTAACATAAATATATATAATTTATATTGTATAGATTTCTAGTCATAGAAGTTCTATCTGCAAGGGTATATAAACTTCGGCGTGCTAAAGTTAGTTTCCTTTTTTTTTCAGTTTATTTTGAAAATATACAAAAGTAACTTTGTTTGTTTGTTTCATTTATAAACTTAACAAATCAGCGGTTGACAAACTAGTTTAATTAATTACAAACTAAAATAACTATCAGTTAAATGAGAATATATGCATGGCTATAGCTACAAAGTTACTTAACCAAATTATAAAAAAAGAAGATATATATACTATATTAATGTGTGTGTGTGTATTCACGCTTTGTTAACCAGTTATCGGGGGAGGGAGGGAGAAGTACTGGAGGAGGGGGAGGAGGGGGAGGAGAAGGCCGTACACAATGGGCATTATCTCTTTGGCATTTGCTCTCTGCTCTCTCTGCTCTCTCCGGCTTCCGTTCTCTCTCGGATCTCTCTCTTCATGGATCTGCCGGCTTTAGCTTTTTCAATTCTTGACCTATATCTAGCGACTATTAGATAACACATCCCATAACTGTGCAGCGACAATAGCTTTTCCACATTTTCGCATTTTTCAGACTTTGATAATGACGCCAACAACACAGCAAGCACTCTCTCTCCCTCACTCTCTCTCTCTCGCTCAGTTAATTGAACTCTCAGATACTTAGATACGCAGATACTCGCTCTCGCAGATACTCGTTCTCTCAGATACATCTGAAGTAGTTTTTTTTGCTTTAAAGCTGCGATCTGTAGTTAAATCTGGAAACCAAATCGAATCTATATCGTCTGGGTGGCCACATCCCGCTGGCGACTGCGTCTGTAGTTTCCATATGCCTCCAGGCCATTAATGCTAAATGCAGTCAGTCCAAAGAACTGCAAGGTATAGAGAAAAAATCAGAGATTTAGAGGGAATTTAGAGAGAATCCTCATCACATTAAAGCCCTTGAAAACAAGTGGCTGAATCGGAACCTGAACCATAAACATAAGCACACCCGAGAAACTACACTTTACAAGTTTCAAATTCCTATTCCGAGTAAATATTTATCCAAAGAAGCTCTCTTCACTCATAATAAGCTATAGCTTTCATTGAACAAATATCTATAAATGTAAGTTGAATGCCACTTAGCTCCTGTTTTGGCACATTTGATGTGTGATATTTGCTCAATTTGGTAACTTTTAATGTGCCAAATATAGATGGGAATGTGTTTTATTAATAATAAATGTCGCTTCTGTTTAGAGTTAAGTATGTCATTGATTTGTTATTTATATGAAATATTTGTTGAGATAAAATGATTTGGCATTGCATTGAATGAGTAATAAATATTTCAGCATAGAGATGACACATTTGTTACATATTATTTGATATTTAATTATAATATTTTTATATATATTTCACTCTGTTATATTTATTGAGTGAAAGTTTATTAAAATGAGCTATTTCAGTGTCAGTTCTAAAGTGAGAGTTGAGTATTTAATGCCTCTCCCTTTGATAAACAATTACTTGAACAAAACTAAGTGAAGAATAGTCAAAGATATGACTATATAAAATATGTTTTAAAGGTTTAATTCTACTAGAATGATATAGTATAAAAATTCAATAATTCCTAGACATATTTCAGAATATATCTAGTACTAAATAAGCTATTTAAAGTATAGTTTTTCTATAGAAAACAAATACCAAACAGTTGCCTTAAGCTTGATATTAAAGTTTTCCCTAAGCTATTGATTACACAGGTAATCCCTGGTTAGCCATAAATCCCGACTACGTGGAATGCCTAAGCCTTGAGGAAGGGGACACGGAACCCCTTTCCCTGGCAAAGGTCACCCATGACTCACCGCTGCCGCCGTGTAGGCTTCAATGTCCAGGGACAGGACGAGGCCGGAGGCCGTGAAGTAGGCCAAAGCCAGCGAGAAGTGCACCGCCAGGGACCAGAGGGTCGGGTCGCAGCGGCAGCACTGACGCTGCCAGAGGCGCAGGAGCCGGGCCAGGAGCAGGCCGGCGGTGGCCACGAATCCGAGGGAAACCACCGCCAGGTAGAAGCTGCCCCGGAAGTTGCTCACGCGCACCGGTCCGCAGACGATGCACAGGAATCCAATGAAGCTGCACAGCTGTGTGGCCGGGGAAAATTGTGGGGAAAATGTGAAAATGCAAGAACAAGTGGAAAGCCACTCACCAAACAGGCCAGCTTGCAGAGGCCCGGCATGCTGCGCAGATACTTGCGATCGAGGTCCTGAGTGCCCGACATCCTAGTTGTATATCTTATGGATTGCAGGTGGGTGGGTCTCCTCTCTGCGCCGCTCTACAGGTGTGGTGGTGGTGCAAGGGGGGGCGGGGACTCTCCGCCGGTCGTATAGGTAACCAAGTGAAAAACGGACTGCCGCTGACCAATCTCACATCGCTCGCCAGCAGTCACCGAACGGCACTGAGGCGAAAAAACACTCAGAACGCTGCCATCATCATCATCGCCGGCCAGCAACAACTATCGCTGCACAGTGGGAGTGATTTCCATTTAAATGGGCACTTTTTGTTTACTATGGGATATGATTAAAACAAGTTCACAAAAGTATTTTACTAACTAATGATGATGATAATGATAATAATATTAACAAATCTCTAAAAACTTAAGAAAAACAATTTTTGAAAATTGTATAATAAGTAAAGAAGCCTTTTCCGACCCTTTAAACCCTATATATTCTTGCTCAACATTGACAGCTGAATTGTTTTAGCCAAGTTCTGGCAACAAAAAAATTTTACCAATTTTATTGGAATTTTAAAAGGGGTTGCAACGCTAAAATTTTCAAAAATTCGAAATTTTTTAATTATTTTTATATTGTAAATTAAGTAAGCAGAATTGTTAATCTAAGAAAGCTTACCGTTTTAAAATCACTGCTATTTTGGCTTAGTTATCGTATTTTGAAAACTTTGATTTTTCCCAAAAATTAGCATTAAAATGAGCATGTAAATTATTATCCACTATTGTGGCTGCTTAGCCCCATTGTGCTCCCCTTGAAAGAGAGCGCGGCAGAGAGCCGGAGAGAACGAGAGAGCGTGAGAGCCCCACAACATATGGCGGCACAGTGGGGCCACATGTGAATGGAAATTAGTGCGGGAATTATGCCAACCAAAAAATTGGGGACAGGCATGGGTCATTTGTTATCAGGGTTTTCTTACTTTTGACTTGTGAACTGAGCACATAAAAATATAATAAATTATGTTAATATTATTATATGTTTTAAATTCAATACAGAATTCAAAATACAGAATATAATAATTATAATAATAATCATAGTAGAGCATTAAATATTATACATTTTAAATTAATTTCAAGAGCTATACATATTTTCTTTTATATATTTATACATAGCTCTTCCTTCCTTTTTATATATAATATATATAATATATAATAATAATAATAGTAGAGCACAAAATATAAAAACTTTTTAAATTCATTTCAAGAGCTATGCATATCTTCTTTTATATATTTATATATAACTTTTCCCCTCTTTTTACATATAAAATGAACCCCCAAACAAGTTGTTCATCAAGCAACTACTATGTACATCACATCACCTGTCTGTCGCCTTAATTAAGTTAATTTGAATGTGGCTCGTGTTGTACGGTGCGAGTGTTACTTCCCCTCGTTGCCTTTTTCCCAATTCTCTTTTGGAGGGTTGTAACATGCAATATGACTCACGGTCCCTGGGAGACGTAATATATATCTATTAAGACAGGTGAGAAAGTGGAGTAAAGGAAAGTTAGAATTTCTGGTGTTTTCTTACCACGGTGCCTTTATGGTTCCATCTTTGTGGTAATGTTTCCATAATTATTATACGTTGCACTCTTTATTCATTCTCAGTTCGAACTGATAAATCTAGTCCACTGCAGGCCACTCGATTTCGGAACCGAACTGTTATCATTGTCCATTATCTCTATTGTTATCGCGACGGGCTAATTCGGTGAGTAAGTAAGCACATAAATTGTAACCGAAACTGAAACCGAAACCGAATCTGAATCTGAATCTGAAATGCAAATGCGAGCCTCCAAATCAAATGCAATTTCAGAGTGATTCACATCGCACATCACATCACACGTTAGGCCAAACAAACAGACGAACCAGCTCACAAATAGATGCAAACAATTTATGAATTTTGTTCTGAAAATAGGTGAATTTTGAATACCCTTCTTCAAAGAGATTCCGAGCTCTTTCATGAACTTACAAAACAGCCAAAGCATATAAAATATATGCATTAAATGTTGCTTAGGTTTTGGGATTTTAAAATATATAATGTATTATATTAGATATAGTTGTATAGATTCTTTTTATAGTATACACACATTATAAACATCGAATTTCTTTAGAAGATTCATCATTTTATAATGATATTATATCATTTTCATTATAATAAATTGATAATATCAAAATTCTTCATTCTTCATTCAAAATTCGTTTAGAAGATTCTCTGCCAAAGAGGATATATATTATTAATTATTATTTATATTACATTAATTATTTTATTAAAAACTATATATTTTACCTTCTTTAGAAGAGTCATCATTTTATAATGATATCATATCATTTTCATTATAATAAATTGATAACATAGAAATTCTTCATAAAATTAAGGCTCAGAAATTCGTTCAGAAGAGTCTCTGCCAAAGAGGATATATTATTAATTATTTTATTAAAAAACTATATATTTTATACTAATAAATATATAAATAAATAATATGTATATATTAAAGATAACCCACTTATAAATCTGCAGCTACCCCCTTTTTCGTGTAGAGTAAAAGACAAAACATTCCGACATGACGTCAAATTGAGTTATATTAATTGACTCATATTCAGGCAAGATGGTTCTTCTGCCGAATGGAGCTTTGGGTGGTTGGGATGGGATGTGATGGCCTATTCCCCCCGCCCCCAGAGCCAAGGTCACTTACACAATCGCCCCCCACTGACACTGAGATTCAGCTGCAGATTCATAGAAACAGATATAGATACAGATACAGATTCCGTTTGGCATTGCAAGATTCTGAGGCAGGCGGCGGCGATGGAGATTTTCCATGCGCCGGAAATGGGCACAAGGCGCAGCGGCATCAGCTATGAACCGGAAATGACGAGTGTAAAAGCTAATCCGCAGATGGAACCGAAACTGACCCTAGACCTTATTCTATGGGCACTCGGGAAATCTGCTCGATAAAACCGGACAATGAAGTATATGTAGTACTCAGCTCGAGGGTAATAATCAGTCGGGCGAACAATGTGCCAGGGCAAGAGCTGTTTACACGACTTCTAAAAATAAATATTCTCATATTGCCACGAGATTTGACCTCATCGATAAACAGCGAATCGAATCGCAACGCAACGCAATCGAGGCGTCTCGAGGCGAGGCAAGTTAACTGACCGGGGAAATTGTGGGGCGGGGACGGGGGAGGAGGAAAAGCCAAAGAAAACTCGCTCGTGTGCCGCCAATGAGCGGTTTTGCACTCGGGGGAAATGCTTGCAAATAATTTTGTTGTTGATTACGTATGGATTTTTCTACAACGGAATGTTGACTGATTGAGGGTAATTAACATTGCAAATGGAGTTGCAGATTTAAGTAAATTGCGCAAAAAGAAGCAAAAGATAAACATTATTTCTTTAATGGTATTTATTGGGATTTCTCTTTGCAACATCCATATTAATAGCCAATATTTATATTTATTACTTACATATTTCTTTAAACAAGAAAATTATTATTAAGATATAAACAAGAAAGAAAACTTAGTTCATTTTACCAGTTTGTAATTGAATTATGGAATCGTATCGATTCTTTGAATCGATGTTTATTAATATTTTCATTTGCCATTTTCCCACAAATCAAAGTTTAACGATCGTTTGTATGGCAGCTATATGATATAGTAGTCCCATTTTCATAAAATTTTACAACAAATTCTAGATTAATATATAGTGGCTGTATATTAAAGTTAATAAAAATCTGTTGAAAACTGGAAAAGTTATAATATTTTTTTTCTAAAAATTTTACGATCGTTCCTATGCAGCTATATATATATATACATATAGTCCACCGATTCTCCATGCACCGATTTATATACTAGTAAAATTATATAGAAGAATAACCCCATAGTTTCATTCAAATAGCCTAAAATTGTTCCAAAACAAATCTCTCGCATCTGCGCTTATGATTCTCAACTGGTTCAAACATCCCCGGAACGAAGTGACTGCTGCCGGCCGAGTCTCAGAAATGTGTTGTGTTACAAAAGTTGCAAGTCATTGTTTACAAGTGTTCAAAGTTAGTAACTGATCATACAAACATACATACTTACTGATCATAGATATTTACTGATTTTAGTTACTTAATGTTCATTGGTACTTACTGTTCAAAGTTACTTACTGGGCATATATGCTTACTGATCATAGTTACTTAATGGTCATATTTAATTAATGTTCAGAGTTACTTAATGATCATAGTTAATAACTGGTCCTATTTAATTACTGATCATAGTTCAATAAATCGACCGATTGTTCCTATATCAGCTATATATATGTTTATATATAGTCCACCGATTCTCCATGCACCGATTTATATACTAGTAAAATTATATAGAAGAATAACTCCATAGTTTCATTCAAATAGCTTAAATTTGTTCCAAAACAAATCTCTCGCATCTGCGCTTATGATTCTCAACTGGTTCAAACATCCCCGGAACGAAGTGACTGCTGCCGGCCGAGTCTCAGATATGTGTTGTGTTACAAAAGTTGCAAATCATTTAAACAATGTGTTCAAAGTTAGTAACTGATCATACATACATACATACTTACTGATCATAGATATTTACTGATCATAGTTACTTAATGTTCATTGGTACTTACTGTTCAAAGTTACTTACTGGGCATAGATGCTTACTGATCATAGTTACTTAATGGTCATATTTAAATAATGTTCAGAGTTACTTAATGATCATAGTTAATAACTGGTCCTAGTTAATTACTGATCATAGTTCAATAAATCGACCGATTGTTCCTATAGAACTATATATATATATATATACATATAGTCCACCGATTCTCCATGCACCGATTTATATACTAGTAAAATTATATAGACGAATAACCAAATAGTTTCATTCAAATAGCTTAAAATGTAAGCCAAAACAAATCTCTCGCATCTGCGCTTATGATTCTCAACTGGTTCAAACATCCCCGGAACGAAGTGACTGCTGCCGGCCGAGTCTCAGACATGTGTTGTGTTACAAAAGTTGCAAGTCATTGTTTACTAGTGCTCAAAGTTAGTAACTGATCATACATACATACATACTTGCTGGTCATAGATACTGATCATAGTTATATAACGGTCATAGTTACTCACTTGTCATAGATACTTGCTGGTAATAGATACTTACTGTTTGGAGTTACTTACTGATCATGGTTAATTACTAGTCATAGATACTCACTCCGCATAGATACTTACTGGTCATAGATACTTAATGATCAAAGTTACTTACTGGTCATGGATACTTACTGCTTATAGTTAATTAGTGCTCATAG